CTTGAGGTTCCTTCGCGACCTGCTTCACCACACTGCTGGTGTGTACATCGCTTGAGCTTCAAGTTGGTGGATCCTGTCGTCTTGCATTGCTTGAGTTCAATATCCCATCTGGGCCTGCTTCACTAAGCTCTTGAGCTGCTGACTGTTGGTGACCCACCTGCTGTCTGCTGCCTATGGGCAGACTTCCCTGCATTGCCTGAGGGAAGACTTAGCTGTCTATTTCCTTGACCTTGGACCTGGCAACCCTTGTGACTTACAGTATATTAACTGTTCCATGGAAGTGAGTTGAACTGAGCCCTTTGTACTGCTGCATGGACTAATTAGATATTATATTGCTTCATGCTGTATAAACCTATCCTCATATATATAATCATAAGTGCCCTGGTTTTGTTTCTCTAGAGAACCTTGCCTAACACACTGCTCAAGCCACCTTGTTAGGACTGGGCAAAGCCCAAAGCGCCCAATGACTGACTGATGCCTGAGCTCATGCCCCTCCCACCGTGCTATGTTGCCTCCAGTATTGGACACTTAATGATGACACATGCCTGTTTGTTTTTTTCCCCTAATTTGAAGACCAACTGTTTTGACAAACAGTCAACAGTTACTTGGTAGTGGTAAGAGGGAGTGAGGGGAATAGCGGAGGGGCATTACTCAGGGAACACTATGTGTCTATCAAGGGTAATGGAGGAAAATGTAAATGGATAGTCATGATGGTTAACATGATAAACATAATTAATACCACTGTGTTGCACATGTAAAAAATATTGAAACTGCAAAACAAGGTAAATTGCTGCTGCCCAGTTTTCCTAACCATATCAGACATATAATGCTTCCCAAACATTAAGGAGCCAGTCATAAAAAACCAAAAAGCAAAACATTTTTCTTTAAATAAAAATTCCTATCATTTAATGGCCATAGTAGAGTACAAAATTCAAACGGTTGGAGGTCGAAGAGGAGCCTAACTCCTCTGCTACAAGTAGGTTGTTTTTTACCTTGAGAAAGTTGTTTCCTTTGTCTTGATCAGGAAAAAACAGAGGACAGTAGATTAGATGATTCTATAACATTTCTTCAGTGTTTAGGAATGTGTATAGTATGACACAGCATTCAAAATGTTAATAGAAAGAACACTTTACAATGAGTCTGAAAACCTATATAGGCAGTGATATAATTGCTTATGTATTCATACTTGAGGGGCAGTTAATTATTCATCTAGCCAAAGTCTCTAATTTCCACCAAATGACTTTTCTGGCATGGATCTAGTAAGAAGGCGGAGGAAGGTCCTGAGAGTAATTGCCTGAGCATAACGGTGGTGATTCCTTGTCATCCCACAGCTTATAAAATGAGCTGAGAAGCAGGAAGAGGGATCTCATTACCAGCAAGAGCTGGGAGTGGAGTGCATCTTCTGGACCCGAGATCCCTGTGCAGCGAATCTTCTGGATTCAGAAGACAAGTGTAGTATCAGCGGAGGAGCAGCAGCAGAACCATGAGCCAGAACATGAGCCATTGCGGCTCCCCAGCTCATAGAACATTGGGGGCCTCCCCAGCTCATAGAAAAAGTAAAGCAGAGGGTTTGGGGGTAAGAGGCTGACTGGTGGAGTGGAGTGCTGTTAGACACTTGGGGAAGCTGATTCACAGTAGTTGAATGGAATACCTTCAAGCTGTGGCTTACTGGAGGGGGTGTCTCTGGGCACTTAATTCAGGGAGCTGGGTTTGCTGACCCACGGATCTTGAGCTGAATGCCTTTGGGGTGAGACTTCCAGCACAGGGGTCTGGCCCTTTGGCAGTCATGAGCAGTCCCGAAAGAGCTCTGTAACGTGTCTGATAAACAACTATCCTGAGTCTTTCTCTTCTTGCATTATAACCTATCAACTCTTTTAATAAGCCCTTTAATCATGAATACTGTCTGTGAGTTCTGTGTAGCTATGGCAATGGCTGTTAGAACCTGGAGAGGTCAACTAGGGAATATAAATGAACACAGCACACACCTAGTGGCGTTTCCAGCAAAACAGCATTGAAGAGATCTGAAGCGGTTTCTGCAATGTTGACTGCTTCCATTTCCATGAAACTGCCCAATGGGTGGCACTTAGCCAAAATATCCTTCACAGGTTTTCTTTGCAATGTACCATTCATCAGTAGGATCACATTGTCTATCATGTAACTGCACCTAATGGAGAAGAAGTACAGGTATTAGGCAAACAGCTGCACCGCACAAAAGCACCACGTAAGTAAGTGTACACAGCACGGTTTAGGCAAACACGCTTCCACCAAGGAAATGGTTGAGGCCCTTTTTATTTTATACTTTGGGCTTGGGGAGATGTGAATGGGACAGAGTGACCCTGGGGCGATCATGGTTTGAAAACACATGCTCTTTGCCATATTAGCCATTACTTGTTGTCTTGGTTAAGGGTCGGCTAACTGTGGCTCCAGAGCCATATGCAAACTTTCTGTACATGTATGTGACTCTGAAGTAAAATTGGAAAAAAAAAATTTTAAGGATTTTATTCAGATAATGATGATTTCATTTCTTTGTAAAAATGTATTTATGGTTCTTGAATAATTCTTAAATTGTTGGAAGGGACAAGATTGGCTTTTCTGTCTCAAAAGTTTGCTGAATCCTGTCTTGGGCGATTGAGTAAACTTGGACTCATGCCTATTACCTGTTACAGGGTAGGACTGCTCTGTAGAGTGTTCTTGACTGTAATCCTCATGGAAGAATAAAGCCTTTTCCTCTGCAGTGCCACTGCCTGGGTTCAAACCACCAATCGTTGGTTCACCATGCAAATGCAATCTGTTTACATCACTCCAAAAACCCCTTTAAACTCATTGCCACAGGTAGGTGATGACTCATAGCACCCCTACAGGACAGAGTAGGACTGCTCCTGTGAATTTCCGAGAAAGCAACTCTTTACAGGAGTAGAAAGCCCTGTCTTTCCCCCTTGGAGCCCCTGGTAGTTTCAAACTACTGATCTTTCAGATCGAAGCTCAATACATTACCACTAAGCCACTAGGGCTCCTTTTACATGACCCAAGGACCTTTGTAGGCAGCTATAGACTTCGCCACCTAAAACAAAATTGAACCTGGACTGCTGGGGGGGGGGGGGGCTATGCCAAAGATAGGCCCTGGACAGTAACTGTTAGCTGCTGTGGGAGTACAGCGAGGGCATGAAATTGAGTTACTGGACTGGGTTATGTGTTTGAGAAGTCAAGTAAAACAGAATTTGCACAGAGTTTTAAAGCGCTGGACTCTTGAACCTGGAATGAAACCCATCACTGGGGAGTTAAAGTTCAGTGTTAAAAACAGTTTGTAGTACCTTCCTCCTATGAGGTCAGAGATGAAAGTTTGGGCCATCAATAAACAAACAAACAAAACTCAGAAATCCAAAAGTTAGTAAGCCCAACCTCACTGCCATACTTGTAGACAGAGTGGAACTAACTGCCCCTGTGGGTTACAGATTGGATATCTTCAGGGCAGTGGAAAGCCTCATCTTTCTCCTGAGGCACAGCGATTGTTTTCAAACTGCAGGCCTCTTGGTCAGCAGCCCAACACATACTTTGTGTGTTTTGTCACCCCATGGAAGCTCTGCAGGACATTCTGGGTCCTGGGCCATGTCCTTGTCTACTCAGTGTTTGGCAATGAAATTGGAGAGCAGACACATCCAGTCCCCTTTGCCGAGAATACAGGGAGTTTAAGGGAAAGACTGAGGAAGAGTCCCTTACAATACATTATAAGGAAGTCTCCATTTAAAAACACACAATCAGAGGGTGGGTGAGGATTCATAGCTGGGCACTCAACTTGTCTGTGAATTAGACTTCCTAGGAGAGCACTATTATGAAAAAAAGCAGGAAATTGATGAAGGAATAATGGTCCAGATACAAAGGACTGGGGACTGGGGAAAATATTGCTTGAAGGCAGACGGAAGGACAAAGGTCATGGGCCAGAAGCGAAAGCAACACAGACCTCATGCCGGGGTGTTTCTTTTCCCCAAGGCTGGGAGGCGGCCCTGAGGCTGAACCTAGAAAGCCTGTGAGACAGGATGGGGACCCTGACTTTGAGGGAGATGAAGGACACCGAATGGCTTTTAAGTGGGGTTGGTGATGGGAAGGGGGGCATTGGTTATGATTTATATAGAACATAAGCAGAACAAGTGAAGAGGCAAGTAAACACTTAGATAGCAAGGTGTTTACAAAGTGAACTAAATTTAATCAAGATCTTGTGAGCTAGGCACACATCAAACTCAGGTGGTTTCAGAATCTTCCTATTAACCTTTACACTAAATTGTACTTAGTTGTCAAGGATCACCTGTAGATTGCTAGGTTTAAAAGTTAGTTAACCGGTGGAACCATTTACTGAGATGGGAGCTATGGAGGAAGAGCATTTTGCAGTGGAGATAGTACTTAGCAAGAGCCCAGGTGGTATAGTGGTTACCCATTGGTCTGTGATCTGCGTGGTGGGCAGTTCAAAACCACTAGCAGCTCCATGGGAGCTGTTAGTCTCCGAAACCCACAGGGGATTGACTCGGTAGCAGTGAGTATAGTACTCAGCAGGAGCCCTGGTGATGTAGTGGTTATGTGTTGGGCTGCGATCCACAAGGATGACAGTTCGAAACCAACAGCTACCTCATGGGAGAAAGCTGGGGGGCTTTCTACTCCGAGTCACAGTCTCGGAAACTCACACTGCCCTAAAAGGGACCCAAAGCGTCGTCGCCGTAGCGTCTAAAGGCAGTGAGTGAGCTCGCGCTCTGCAGGTACCCAGGAGGCTTCGCCAAGAAGTTCTCAGAATTCCTGAGTCCCGGAGACAACTGTGGCCCAGAGACATTAGGGGATCGATCAGGAGGATGAGGAGGGAGAAGCAATAGTCCTGGGGCTGATCGGGACCTCATCGTAGAATGCACAGTAGAACCCTGCAACCGATCGCATCGGTACATAATCGGATTTTGATGCGAAATGTCGAGAAATTTTCACATCGGAGCTTCAGCAAACCCATCGCAATCCGGCCCGATGCACCGCACGTGAGTCTTGTAAACAAAAGCAGTTCCTGTTTAGGTCGCTCGGCGTTAGTAGGCGTTGTTTAAACCTTTGGCGGCTGTGTTCCAAGCGTTTTGCTATACTTTTCTTAGTTTTTGTGGATATTTTTACTGTTTTTAGATTAAAAAAACCCCTAAACATGGGTTTTAAGAAAGAGACTTTGAAAGGAATCATCATGATAAGGAACAGGTTAACCGTGTTATTGATTTGTTGATGATACTTTAGAAGCCCTTTTAGAAAACAGTTAAGGAAATGCCAACAGCAGACCACATTCGACAGATTTTTTTTCCAGAGAAAGCCAGCCGGGTCCCAATGAAAAAAGGCAAAGAAGGGGAAAAACTCCTGAAAAGCAGCTACAGTTGATTTAATGGAAGAGGATTCCCCTTCCAAACAATGATTCGCCATTCTTCCTCTCCACGCCTGTGTCAGCAGATCCAGATCCTCATCAGTCTCAAGGTATGGGCCATACCATAGTTGTGAAAAACTTTTTAAATGTTGTTTCTTATTTAAATTTTATCATTTAACTTTGAACTCATTTACTTTGCAAATTCTGTGTAATGTTCTGTATAGGCAAGGTTAGGGTAAACACTTGGTGGTCGAGAATGGATTAATCCATTTTCAGTTATTTCTTATGGGAAAAATTGCTTCGGAACTCGACTCCGTGGCATCTCGCCGCTCCTTCTCATGCGGATTAGGGTCGAGGTCCCGGGTTCTGCTGTGTCTACGAGGTCTTCCTTTGGAAAGGCCTGGAAGGAGACGGAGAAGGAATGGCTAGGTGGTGGGAAGAAAGCTGGAGGCCAGAGGAAGGGATCTGAGTGTTAGAGGTGCAGAGAAGGCAAAGTGAAAGCGAAACAGAAGTGTTCGTGACTTAGCGACTAAGAATCACCTGGGGCCACAGTGAACCCCGTTTGGAAGTGTGCGCTAGGTGGGGCGCGGAGGGCGGGAGTTGGGAAAGCAGGACTCGGCTCACTGTGTGCTCAAAAGGAGCGAGATGCATAAGCGGTTAAAGATGCTTTTTGAAATAAGAAGTTGGCTTTAAACAAAGGAGAGGAAAATTGTCGGAAGACCCAGGGGCCTGGGCAGCTCAAGATTTATTTAGACTGTGTTGTTGTTCCGGAGAGAAGTGAAGATGGCTAAGTGTTGGGGGGCAGGGGGCCGTCAAGAGGGTGAGGTTAAAGGTTCAGAAGAGAGACCACGCATCCCCCTTCATGGACAGAGGGCCTCCAGGTGTGACAGTGATGGGACCCTTAACCACTGACCCAAATCGGGCTTGGAAAATCACACCTTTCCTGAGATGAAATGAATTCAGACCCTGGGAAGCTGTGTCCCCGGAGCTGGCTGTAGGGGTGACCAACTTCCTGTGCAAGAACATCGACTTCACCCTGGAGCATCTACAATTTGCCCCCAATGAAAATTCTAGCAAAAGACGTTTCTGAAGCAGGCAATGATGCCCTTTTAAAAAGCATATGACTGACGATAAAGTTTCTTTGCTTCCCTAACAGCAGTACCAAATTTGTATATTATGGAATTAAAAAACAACAACACGTCTTTTCATCGCTTAAGATGATATTAAAATGGGAACGCTGTTTTAACCGTCCCTTTATGGCTCAGAAGCAATTACCTGGGAGGGGAATTGCTAACACTTAATAATTCTTAAAAGTCTCCAGACGCTTAATTTTCCTCCACAGCAGCCCCGACATGTAAAAGCATGTAAGCTGCTCGCATTTCCAGTTCACAGAGCACCATTAGACCAATGTTGATAAGCAACAATGCCAAGCATTCAGCCTACATGTAAGGCTCTGCCCTTTGCCTGTATGGTGTGTATAAAGATGTTTACATGGGTACCCATGTGTGTGTCTGTACATATATGTGTATGGTGAATTTTTTTCACTACCAGAGAGGCTGTGCTATATACTGTCAAGATGAAGGGCTTCGTAGATGAGATTCATATTTATTTCCATCTTACTAAGTAGCCTTGCCTCTAAAATGGAACAATAGCACTGCTTTTCCTAGTTTTGTTCAGGACACCCAATGAGAACCTGAGACTTTGACCCACAGTGAGGAGATTCTTTCTGAAAAGCAGGGAGGCTTCTTTGAGGACTAAGGTGAACCTGACCCAAGCCCTGGTATTTTCATTTG